TTGAAAATGGACACTTCAAAACAACACCCAATAAAAATTAAATCTTTTGTATAATTGGATAATTAACATTTATAGTTACTCACTCATGTTATTCTTTATTTATTTATTTATTTCTCTAAAAATAAATAATAGTTACAATGATCTCCTAAATTCAAATATATGTTTTTAAAATTTTTCAGGCATGTGAATTTTACCATTTAAAAATAACAAGAATTTCAATGAAATAACTTCTAAAATATTAAAAAAATTATTAAAGAATATTTTAAAATCAAACAAAATATTTGAATATATTTTTTTTTATTTTTTTCAACTAATAAATGAGACAGATCCATTGAAATAATTCTCATAAAAGCATAGCCAATAAACGAGAACAATAAATTTAATTACAGAAAAAATATATAGTAGAGTAGACTAGTACCTTATTTTATTTAAATAATTTAATTTTTTTTTTTTTATAAATCCTTTATTTTATTAAATTTGTGGGCGAAAATTCTTTTTAACAGGATATTCCAAACGTTTGACTCATAAATTAAAATGGTATATTATTCTTAGGCTATAAAATCGTACTTTTATTTAGCTTTGGCTTCTAGATTTAATTATTCTAGGCTACAAATTCAATAATATTATATAAATTAAATGCTTAAATTTAATAATTTTTTTTTATATAATATATAGTACAAAATTGAGAGTTATTTGGGAGCCAAATTCCCTTATGTTATTGGGTAGTTTCCCTTGGTGTGGGTCAATTAGACTTAGGGTTACATTATATTAATATGCATAAATGATTTATGTACGACATGTCGGCTGACAACTTATAGCAAATCCATTGTAGCCTTGTTAATACCTAGGACTACTTGTCGTCGTCCCAAAATCAAGATTTCAGCCTTCAAGAACATAAACAACTTGGAAAATCCCAATCCCTATTCACCATTTCAGTTTCAAATTCCATTTAGTCTCATCATTTTTGCCATTCGTTAAGGGATAAAAATGTCTTTTACCCTAATTTCTATTCTCGATCGAACATATTCCGTTACTTGATATTTTAATTAAGACTGTGACTAGTTAGTTCAAATAATACACCGACTACATAGTTCGCGTTCAGTAGGTCCCAAAAGAATCGAACCTTTTAACATTGCATTATTGGGATGTTGCTATCGAGAAACGTAATAAAAAGTCAAGATATTTGTAGGTATCTATTAAAACGTATATATTTTTTTAGAAAAAACCTTTTTTTGTTTTTTTTTAAATATAGACTAAATTATTAAAAATAAAACATAGTCCTATTCTTTCAAACGTTACATTATTATCCTTGCTTTCATAAATGTTTCGAAACCGACTCAATTTATTCCACTCTTGTTCATTCAAACTTAATCTAATCAAATTAGTTTTTTTATTTTGTTTTATTTTATTTTTTTATTTTTTATTAGGGTTTATTGATAGTGTGTTGGATGTGTCTGCAAATGTTGTCTTGTCCCTTTCTCCTCTCCTCTCTCTAATTTGCATCTTTCCCCTTTTAACTTTATTATTATTATTATTATTATTTATTTGTTTTATTCAAACTTTTTTAATGTTTTTTTATGACTTTTCTTTTACATATCTATGGATATTAATATTTTCTTGATATTTTTCTTCCTTGCTTTAAATATTTTACATTAAATTGGGTTATTTTATTTTTATTTTATACATATTTTATCTAAAAAATAATATAATTATTTTCCATATTTTCTTATTATATTTATATTAATTTAACATTTTCATAATATCAAAATTTAATTGAGAAAACCCTATTTATTATTTATTTATTAAAAAAAACATTAAAAATTGTCTGAGAGAGAGACAAAAATAGGGTTTGAAAATGATAATTAATAAATGTCAGAGGAGGTGAGGGCTAAAAAGTAAATATGTTTGAATTAAATATTTCCAACCACATGATTTTTTTTTTTTTAATTTAACTTTTTTACTTCTTTTTGTTTTTTCTCTCTCTCTATTAACAATTTTTTTTTTTTTTGTATTTTATATATTAAATGCTTACTTAAATATTTTAAAAATTGATCCCTAAAATTGAAAACTAGGTCGGTTGGTCGACCAATTCATAAATGATGCACAATTTAAACCAGCCACGTTCAATTAGGTACGTAAACAATTTCTCGACTCGCCAAACTAAAAAAATTCTAATTCTTTAATTCATAATTTATATTTTATGACAATCGAGTAAACGTGACATATATGACTGAACTGAAGCTTTATTCGAATGAGAACGATTCTGAGGATACGAAACTTTGGATAAGAATTGATAGCTGCTACTCGACGAAGTGTACCTTCTTTTTCAGTGGCTCAATCATAGAAACTTTAAAGGTAAACATGCTTGGCTTGAAGCAATTCTATGTTGAACATATTTGTAGATATTGTTCGCTTTGATCTATTACGTATCGACATTAGTCTCACATTTTTTTAAAACGCGTCTGTTATAGAGAAGTTTTCATACCCTTTTAAAGAATGTTTCGTTCGTCTCTAAAAACGACATGGGATCTCTCATTCAAGTACAGTAGATAACGTGGTCATGTAGCAGAATATGCAGGCAAATCTCGATGTAGTTCAAGTCAAGTAGGTAACATGGTCTGTATAGCAAGAGATGTAAGAGAATATCGGGACAATCAGAATCTAAATTCTAAATCTTTGTTCAAATCTCGAGACGGTTCTAATTGAATAATTGAATGAATAATAACAAAATTTACCTAATTTATTAGAATAGGGGATGACACTATTTTAGTTTACCTATGTTTATTAGGTTACACAATCTTTGATTTAATGGCTTAATTAAGCTCTATAATATAATCTTAACACCTTACACTTTATTGCAAATTTAATTGAACTGGTCCCCAAATTCAAAATTATGTGACGTTTAATTCTCGATTGATAATTATTTTGACCACCAACGAGTCATTTTTTCAATTTTAAATATATTAAATGAAAAATAATTTTCATTAAATTTAGTTATTCTTTTATTTTTATATAAATGTTCGAGTCCTCGCCATTAATTTTCTTTTTCTTTTTTGATAAATTTGAAACCTAACGCATACACGTTTTGATGACTAGATGGTCGGTAAATAGTTAATAGTAATAATTTAGTTCGATGTAGTCCTTTTTGTAAAAATTGTTGATAAGGTTTTATGAAATAGTTTACGTTTACAGTAAAAATTGACATTTAATTCGATAACTCAATCAACTCCAACTATCCAATCGTAGAATCTTGAAAAATAAATTTAGTTCGGTTTACAAGTTGACATTTTATTAGTCGGGTCAACTTGACCAACTCAAAAATAGGGTTACAATCCAACCAAACCCTACCCTACTTTTAACGATATTAAGAATATTTAACGTTTGTAATTACATCAGTGGTAAATTGTAATTTGTAAATATTTGATACTTGAAACTCTATTTAGCTTATTCCGGTCATCGAAATTATATATATATATATATATATATATATATAAAATAAAAAAATTAATTTTTGAGATTTATTAGATTTGGGAGAGATATTAAAAGGGCATATGAAGAGTACCAAAGAGTATAATGGGAAGTTGCTATCAATCAATTTCAAAAACCCTAATTTTCTTCCCTCTTTTTCTTCCCACAATATATTATATATTTTAATTCATTTATTTTCAGCAATTTAATTTAAAAAGAAATAAAAAATAAAAAATATTTATTATTGTGGCAAATTACTCGACCGAACTTAAGGCTTGACATGGCTTCTAGTCAGCATAACACTTTAAGTCTCGCATCACATTCATACGGAGCATATTATACTTTATCATTTCTTCGTTAAATTGCGTAAAAAATTGATAACTAAAAAAGCGGGAAAAAAATCAATCATTTATTTATTAAAAATTAATTAATTAATTAATCATTATTATTATTATTTTTTTACTATGGTAATTGTTGGGTGTGGATGTGAATAGGTGTTGAAGGGTCCAATGGTGGGCTACAAATCAAAGGACAAATCAACGTCCAATTGTCTTTATTTTTCTTTTTTGTAAAGTTGAGGACATAATATCGGCAAATTTCCATTACTACCCCTCACCTCTTTTTTTTTAATAATTAAAATAAAATCAATTTTATTTTCTACCTTTGAAAATTCCCCTACCCCAATTTCAACTTCAACTACCAATCACTCTCCTCCAAGGCTTTAAACCATCGATATCATATTTTTCTTTTTCTTTTATTATTATTATTTTTAATTTGGGTATTACCAAATATATATATATTAAAATATTCTAAAAATAAAGATTTAAATATAATCTTCGCATTAAGGGCTTTGCCAAGCATAAGCCCAATAGTAATTGGGCCCACTCGAATTCAGCCCTGGCCCAATTTCTCACCAGTTAAAGGAACTCAGCGTGTGCTTATTTTAAAATCTTAAAATATTATTCGTAAATTAATGATGTATTTATAAATTATTAAATTTGAGACTAATTATTAACTAAAATTTATCTCAAATTCATTCGAAAAATTATATATATATATATATATATATATAACGTGAAGCTTCACCGTGAAGGATAAGCGTTGTCCCTATTGAAAGAAAGGTCAAGAGACCCGACCAAAAAGTCATCTCAATTATAAAGTGGTAACCCTATCAATACCACCATTTTTCTGCTCGCTCCTTTTCTCTCTAAAAAATGGAAGGGGTGTTAGTCGACATTAAATAGTAAAAATATTATTGGTATTTTTGAAAATTTAAAAATATTTTGAGACGAAGTTTCAATTTTTTTAAATATTTCTATTAATTTAACCAAAATAATCGATCTCATTTTATAATTATCTAATTTTGTTTATAAATTTTTAACATTAAATCTAAAAATACTATTTTTTACATTTTCTTTTAAAAATTAAAAATTAAAAGCTAAATAGAGAACTTAAAATTTGAGAATGTTTTTAAAATTTTAATAGAATAGTCAAAAGATAAACTCAAATTCATAATTACTTTTTAAATAGAGAAAAGAAAATGCATTAGACGAAACTTGTTGCAATCCCACTCGCGGTCTACGCGCGTGAAGCTCACTCTCGGCACCACTTCTGCGTTTCACAGTGAACAACGGAAGTCCGAATTCCGAACTAACCAGAAAAAACGATGAGCTTCATCAATTCATCCAACAACTTTCCGAATCCATCATCAATCCACTGTACGATTTCTTGGATTTCTTCTCCTCGTGTATCGGAAACCGTAATTTTTTTTTTCTCGTTCCTGTGATCGTCAAGCTTAAACCCTAGTTTTTGTTGTTTTGGATTTCTGTAATACATCCTTCAGCTTCATCGATCGTGCATTAAACTTGTAAGAACTCATGATTTTTATGGAATTTTTTCTAGTATCATTTGGTATTCTTCTCTTTTGACAGTATCGGCGTTTTGTTTTTGTAGCAGATTACATGTATGGCTTCAGTGCTGCGAGGTGGTGGTGAACCGGGAGGGAATCCCAGGAGGACGGATGATAACAAGTTTAGTACCGGAAACCAACGGAAAGAGAGTAAAATCCCCAAACGTGCTCGAAATTCCGTACAGATTTCTGCCGTCGCGGCCGCCAATGGCGGTGGTGATCCGTCTTCTCCTTCTCATTATCCGATCGATGCTTTAGTCACGTCTAGGGATTCTTCAGGTCAAAATCGCTACATCGAACAGGTTAATGCCGATGAAGTGCCGGGATATACGAGGTTTGAGAACCGGGTTAGGATTTGCTTGAATTCCAGATCAAGATCTGGGATTAAAGAGCTTACGACGAAGCTCAAGGGCGAGCTCGATCACGTCAGGAGCCTCGTGAAGAAATTTGAATCTCAAGAGCTGCAGATTAGTGGTTATGGTGGTGATGTTGGACATAGTCAGTCGCAGTTTTCTGCTAATAATTTGGTAGAGAAGGTTGGTAACACATGGAAGGATGATTCTGTGGTGGGTTCCGCCGATGTGCCCGCTTCTCGACTTGTTCGAAGCGTTTCGGTGGCCGAAAACTTCGGGGAGTTTGCAGAGAAAGAGATGAACAAGCATAAAAATTCAAGATATAATCCTAAGACGGAGTTCCCGGTATCGGATTGCGATTCGAATCGAGGTAAGATTGATCCATTGCTTAAAAGCTGTAACAATTTGCTGGAAAGATTGATGAAACATAAGCATGGTTGGGTGTTTAATGTGCCTGTTGATGCCAAGCGTTTGGGGCTTCATGATTATCACAAGATCATAACGAAGCCAATGGATTTAGGCACTGTAAAGATGAGATTAAACAAGAACTGGTACAAGTCACCAAGAGAGTTTGCTGAGGATGTGAGACTCACATTTAGTAATGCCATTACATATAACCCGAAAGGGGAGGACGTTCATATAATGGCGGAGCAGTTATCGAACGTATTCGAAGAGAAATGGAGGATTATTGAAGCCAAACAAAATGTTGGTAAGGATGATGGATCCAGAAAATCTCCAGCTCTTGCCACACCGCCCGTGGAATCGAGAACTTTTAGTAAATCGGAGTCTACGACGAAGCCTCCGCCTGCAAATAGGGAGAGTTTAGGTAAGTCGGATTCGATAACAACGCCTGCAAACGTTCCTGATAAGAAACCAAATGCTAAGAACTATGGAAACATAGATATGAATTATGAAGAAAAGCAGAAACTGAGCATTGATCTTCAGGATTTACCATCAGATGAGCTGAATAATGTTGTGAAGATCATTAAAAAGAGGAACCAGGGACTCTTCCAAAACGATGATGAAATTGAGTTGGATATTGGTAGTGTTGACTCCAAAACCCTCTGGGAACTTGAGAGGTTTGTGGCTGATTACAAAAAAAGCTTGATCACGAACAAGAGAAAAGTCGATGCCGATCTTCAACCATCGCGCTTCTCGACCAAGGATATGGTAAGATTTGAATCAATCTGTTACTGTTTCAAGTTCCTTTCTTATAAAAAACGGTCGGCAGGGTGAAACAAACGCTATATTGTAACGATGCAGGATCGAGCTGTGGATGATGCAGGAGGAGGACCTGTAGGCGGCAATGCAGGTAAAATTGTTGAAATCTTTGGTGAATGCTTCAGTATATAACTTTTGGTAACTTAGAAATGGAATGATATAAAAGAAAGCATAACAGAACATGTCTCCACCATTGAAGCAACCACTTGATACCTAGCAGTAGCAGTAACTTGGAGAGGTTAATGGTTATATGATCTATGTTTCTACAGACTCTGAAGGCGAGGGCGACAGTTCCTCGACGTGTGGAGATGCGAATCAGTCTCCCTCAGGTTGAATCGACTAAAACAAGGTACGAGTTTGAAGTCTAGTACTGAATGTGGTAGCTCGCTTCATGTTCTTGTTGGCTAGGAAACATCACATATGAAAATATTTCCTAATGTGTGATATTTAGCTGAATCAACAAGGTTAAAGATTGACTACCATTTGTGTTATCCTCTGGTCTTTAGATAGCTTCGTCTGTTGATATTTAAAAACTCGGAGATCGAAACCGAGAAGGCTGGAAAAGTCTAGGAATTTGGCAATTGTTTTCAGGAGCGTCTTTATCTTTCCCGATTTTACGATAAGCAAGTTGAAACTCGGAAGTTGATTGTTCTATTATCCTTAAGTAATCCTATCTGAATAATCATATAATTTGATCAGAATCTCCAAACCAATTTTCATTTATGTTTCCCATTGATGCTCAAGTAACAAGTCGGGCTACGAATCGAGGCTTGTTCTTATGAAGATGAAACTATGTGTGATCTGAAATTGACGAATTTGCTCCTGTGCAACAGGATCATATGGTTTGGTTACATCACGTCGGAGCGATCTCCATCTCCCATGATGATTTGGAGGGAAGAAATCAAAAGTTCTATTGATAAATTTAGATGATATTCATGATTCCTTCGCATTTTATGAAATCATTTTGATAATTGTATATTTTTGTGAAATAGAACTTAGAAGGTAGCATAAGTTAATTCCTTTCTAGGATGGATTGATTGATCTTTCCATTTTCTTTAGCAGCTGTATATACTAAAGGATCTACTTTGGAATATGAATTTAATCTTTTCTTTGTCAGCAATGAACTTTATAGTGTATTTATTATGAAAATGTAACCAAATTACTAAATTAAATCATAGTTCACCATCTCTTAAGAGTCCTAACGATCGTTGTAGGTTCCTACCGAAACTTTTTAACTTCACCATGACCGAACATGGTTCATCATCTTTCGCATCCTAACAAGCATGGCCATACTTGATCCATAATTCACATTTTCACCATAATCCTGCTTAATCCTCACACTTTTGAAATGTCTATTTTAGTTTTGAACAAATAGCTTATATTAGGTTTCTTTTTAGTAGGGCCTTGCTCATCTAAAAATGTTGCTTTTAGGACGTCTATATGTTAAATCATGAATATGATCCTCCTCCATTTTACAAGAGAATGAGTTCAAATCATGGTAGCCACAGGCTTAAAATTTAACATCCTATGAGTTACTTTAGCAACCAAATACGCTAAGACTACATATTGAACACGACCTAAAAATAATCCACCCAACCCAACCCAACCCAACCAATCAAGCACTGTTTCAGTCCAAATGGTCGGATGATTCTTCGTATTAAAGATCGAAGATTCTAATAGAGATCCCTCAAAAATATGCCACCGGGAATTATTGATAAAACTTATACGAGGGAAATGAACTACTCTAACAAAAAAAAGTAAAGCCGGTTGCTCGTAAGCAGCATCATCAGTTACAGTTGGGTGGGAAAAGAAACAATGGATGAGTTTTATGGTAACGTGGGCAAGAGATACCTGTCCGGATTGTAAATAATACAACCACCTTCTAACTTTTGTTGGCAAACTGGATTCCCTTCTCAATTGAAGCTTTGAGCTCGGGCTTCAGCTTTTCCAAACCTTCTTTCTCGAAGTCTGAGAGATGGCCCAAACCCAAAACTGATTCTACTCCGTTCTTTCCAAGCTTCACCTGTTTATAAAAGAAAATCAAAGTGATGAACAATAATTCATGCAGTCGAAAGATTTGGACTCTAATGAGTTTCAACTCAAACAATATACTAGAAGGAACAAGCAGTCCAAACAGAACATAATCAATTACCTTTGAAGCAAAGAATGGAAGTTCAGTGACAGCTGATTGCACAAACGAGCATTCCACAACATCTGGAACCCCATTCAGTCCCTTGAGACAAGCATCTGCAAAAAGGGCACCAGCATAGCTGCCAGAAGCAGTAAAAATGTTCAAATTTTACTTGCATTATTGACATGGCAAGGAAAATAAGAACAGAGAATGATGAAAGAAGCCCCGGCTGTTGAGGAAATCAACTTCTGATAAATAATTCAGCAGCAAGTTAAAGGCTTACGCCATTGATAATGTAGCAGAGCCCTTTCCGGCCTTTGCTTCCACAACTTCCGTTCCTCCATCTTGGGTCCGCTTGGTGAGAGCAACAATAGTCTCATCTGACAAATTAGCTTTCGGGGTAGCCTGTGACAATCAGATGCACCGTATAAAGGCTATAACCCCTCAAATTCAAAGCATTCGATGCAATCCCGACGCAGGAACACTGGTTATGCATCTAGCATATTTGCAAAAAGAAGGGGGAAGTACCTGAGAAAATAGTGGAAGAATGGTGATGCCCGCATGGCCACCAATAACAGGCACATTAACCTCTGCAAGCGTATTACAATTGTCAAGCAATAAAATTTGACCTTTCATCATTGTAAATTGAAATTAACGGAGAAATTTCAAGCATAAAATTTTAGCAAGGAATTATACCAGCTACTGGAGCATTTGCTTTCCCAGCATAAAAGGTTTTGGCCCTGACAACATCAAGAGTAGTAACACCAAACAACTTCTTCTCATCGTAAGTGCCAGCTTTCTTGAAAACCTCAGCAGCAATTGGGACAGTTGAGTTGACGGGGTTGCTGATCATGTTAACAAGTGCCTGCAAAACCGTGTTTTGGTTACAAAATGAAGTCAAAATAACAAAATTAAAGTATTTGCATCTCAGTATAAGAGTGGTGGGTACTGACATTGGGGCAGTACTTAGCAATGGCAGTGCAAAGTGATTTAACAATGCCAGCATTGATGTTGAAGAGATCATCACGGGTCATGCCGGGCTTTCTTGGAACTCCAGCAGGAATGATGACAACATCAGATCCCTCCAAAGCTTTACCGAGTTGGTCCTCACCCACGTAGCCAGTAACCTACACAGAAAAATCTTGTAGTGAACAATGATCTAACGACGAAATCAAGAGATGGAAAAAAAAAATTAAAAGAGAGAGAGAGAGAGAGAGAGAGAAATGAAACAAATTAGCTCAAACCGTTGGACATGAACGAATAAGAACAAAACAGGAACTCCAAAAACATGCAGACACCCGAGTTATAAACTTATTTAAATTTTGAAGCAGAAAACAAGCAAATACATAGCCGAAGACAAAAAGCACAACAATCGAAATCAACCGAATCAAAATCAGATCGATTGCAACTCAAACAAAGGCATCAACAAACCAAAAACACAACTATTTATAACCGTACAAGAAAGAAAAAAAAAAGGGAGAAATGATAAGATTTACCTCGGATCTAGTGTTAACGTGACCAACATCAGCGGCAACACCAGGAGTACCAGCAATATCGTAGAGAGCAAGCTGGGAGACAAGTGGATTAAGCTTCATGAGAAGCGCCAAGGGCTGTCCAATCCCACCGGCGGCACCAAGCACGGCCACTTTCCTTTCCGGCACTGATTCAGTCCCAAAGCTACGGGTCAAGAGGTGCTTCGACGAAGAGGACCTCGAGGCGACGGAATGAACAGATCTGAGAATTGAGGCCTTCATGGTTCCACGTAGAAGAACAGCGACGATACCAAGAAAACAACAGAGAGGAGGGTTTTGGCGGAAATGAGGGGTTCTTCTTCAGATCATATCGAAGTGCTTTTGCCTTTATTCTCGAGGCCAAGGGCTCGATTGTAATTTGGATTTCTTTTTCCATGTAAAAATGGAAATTAAAAGAAATGGGTATATTTCATGTTCGCATTGTTTTTTATTTCTTTTTTCTGATATAATTTAAATACTCTTTAAATAATAAATTGTTTATATCTACAAAAATAGATCAAGTTTATTCAATACATTTAATTTAATATCTATGAAATTAATTTTTTTTACTAAAACTAATCGGGTAATTTTTTTTTTTTTTTTTTGTATTTATTTTCAATGTTTCTCAAAAATGAAAATATTTGCATTCAAACGTAATTTTTACAAAATAGAATAATTCAAATCAAACACAATAAGAAATTGAATTCTATTTATAAAAGAAATTAGAAAACCCAAAATTTTCAGGTTTTTGTTTGTTTGGTACATAAACTTATTAAAAGTATTTAATAAATTCTAAAATTATCAATTAATAAGTCTCATAAAATCTAAATTTATGTTTTTTTTTTTACCTATTTAACATTTTTAAAATATATAAATTAAAAAAAAAAAGATATATCGATTGCTTTACATATATAGACATAAATACACACCTTGAAAAGTATTTGGACCAAATTTAATATTGAAAATCTAGACCATGCTCAAATAGGATTTACCTTTTTCCCTTTGGAACAATAAATATCTAACAAATAAAGCCATTTTCTTTTTCATTATAATAAATTGCAAAAATATTACTATTGATTTCGAACTTGAATATTAAACATTCGAAACCGAGTCATTAGGGAGACGAATAATCGTCAAGTACAAGAATCAAAATGGATATAAACTTACATAATTTCGAAGTTAAAAGGGCTTCAATAGTTCAATTGGTTGTGCCTCAAGTCTTCTTGAACGATTTTAAGTCCTCCAAGCAGGGGCTCAGTGGGATGGTTTTGATGCCCATTTGCCATTTCATATACCACCATACACACACCAAAAAAACAAAAAAAAAGGGCCAAATATTGTGTGTGTGAGAGACAGAAGCTGATAAAGATTTAGAAGCCAGATATTCAGATTTATTTATAGGACAAAACACACAGCTAATCTCTCTCACAAGTTGAGAACATTGAGAACACCACCTCCACTAGTTACTAAAATCCATCTAACAAGTTGCAAACAAGACAAAAATTTCTATAAACAAGCTCTTACGAATCCATTATAACACAAACCAAGCCAATTTACAAGTAATGAACTTCCCAAATTTGTGAACCAAACACATCTTTAACAACTAAAACAAAAGCAGCTAAATATGAACTATATAACAAGTTCATCCCCCACAAAACACAACTCACAAAATGAAGGGAAACAAAACAAGATTCAATTTCATCTCACAACCCCATTCCTTGCTTCAAAAGTTAATGAAAATTACATGAACTCGAGGAAGATTAAGCAAGCAATTGGCTCCGTGGAACACGCACTCACCATTCAAACAAGCCAACGTCGGTAATAATAACTACCAAACAGAAAATTGAGCAAGCAATTGATTGTACAGAAAAAGAACTCAATCCATCACCGTGCACACATGTATTTGGTTGAAGCATCCAGCACATTATGCAGTAAATCATCGATGAGATACAACGAAAGTCACAGCTCAAAGACGAGAATATCATCTCTACAATCCATAAATCAAAAACCCTTAAACCATTAAAGATGAGATACAAAAAGAGCTTCAAGTATCATTCAAATCCAAGATTGACAAAGCTTGTGCTTCCAACAACCTTCGACAAAACAGATGCACACAGCAGAGCAGCAATAGAAGTGGATCCATACAGCATGGACAGACAAAATAACAGAATCACCATGGATTTTTTCCAACTTTCATCGACCATTCACAAAGAACAGAGAGTAGCGATAAAAGGAAATCAATTCAAAGGCATGGCAGAGAAGTGAAGTAGAAAGCACTTGATACCAACAACTGCAAAGGATTCAAAAGTTCCTCGCAGAAAAGCAATGACAAAGAAAATACAAGGTCTTTCAAGCAGGTTGACATACTCAAATCAAGATGGCAGAGCCACGTAATGAGTAGTCGGGAGGGAAAAGATTGTCCACATAATTTGAAAGCAACAGAAAGCAGAAAAACTACAGTAACTAGAGCGAATAGTA